TAAACTGCAGAGAGTGGTTAGAAAAGAGGGGATCATTTTGGAAAGTGTTCAAGGAAATCCCTGATGGCCCATTACCTGGCTGCAGAGAGTGGCCTTTGCCCCACAGCCATGTCACTCTGGAATCTGAACACTTTTTGAAACAGGCTGACGGTGGTTGCCACCCTTTCACCTCTTCATACACACATGCGTAGAGGGATCAGCGTTTCAGCATGTTCCTAGTATTCCAAGCCCTTGCGCGTGTGAGGAGTCCTAACTCACTGGAGGCAGTGAGGCGCCTCCATACAATAGGATTTGCAGGATCGGGCCCGTAAATTCTTGGTGAAGGGAGGGGAGAAGGAAAAGTATTTGCTGGTCTGCCCATTTCTCAAGGAAAGTGATGGGCTGTATTTTTACAGAGTTCTTTCAAAGCCTATGCTAGGCTGTGAGAAAGAGGTGATGAGATAATGTCTCTTGAGGCCCACAAGCTCGGTCTCTACTGCCTTCTGCATTAGAATATCATGGCATCTCTTGAACTCATTATAGGCTCAACAGTTTTCCTAAGGCCCCCTTTCCCCACTTTGGGTGCGTCTACACAGCAAGGCTTAACTCCAAATAAACTACGCAAATTGAGCTACATCAATTGCATAGCTTATTTTGAAACTGGGAGCGTCTACACAGCACTTATTTCAAAATAGAGCACACTTCCTCCAGCTGTCCTCACTCGTACAACGAGCGTTACAGGAGTCAGAATAAGAAGTCCTCCAGCTTGACAATATTTCAGAATAACTGCCTGCTGTGTAGACGTGGACTAAGTTATTTCAAAATAATGTTGCTGTGTAGACGTATCCTTTGAGAGGAAGGCAAATAACAGCCTTATTTTCCCTGAGAATCCACCCTTTACCTACCAGAGCTGGCAGCGCACATTGGGCACCAGATGCTAGAATACAGGGGGGGAAGCTTGTGCCATGAGGGGGAGGGATGGTAAGCACTGACAGATAAACACCTGTCTCATGTGAAAAGGACAGACTCAGTTTGTGCTTGCACACGTCTGTGTGACCACACACAATAAAGCCACTAACTAACTTGCCTCTGCAGCCCAGCTGCCTCCTCCCTGCTCTCCTGATGTTAGCCCATTAATAAATCCAGCTGTCCACCTGAATTAAGATTCTCCTTCCCATCAGATAAGTGAGATTCTCACCATGTAGCGGAGGAGTCCCCTGGGCTGAGGGAAGGAAATGCTGAGATCAGACACGCCAGTGGCCAATTAATCCCTTCAGAATCCAGCAGCTTCTCTTTTTTCTAAGCACTGGCCTAAGACAGAGCGTAGCATGCAGGGCCAGCACTCCAGGGTGTCCCTCCTCCACCCTTGCCTCCTTCTTGTGTCCTTTTGCACTTGCTGAGATTCTGCTGAGGGGAGCAGTGCAGCTGCAAGCCTAGGCATTGGTACACACTGATGGGAACAGTCACCCAGCTCTGGTCCCTAGGAGGATAGCTCAGAGCTGCCCCAACTATATGGGACTGTGTCTCACCTGACTTTCCTGCCCCCTAGGAGAATTCAGGTTAGACACCAGGGAACATGAGATCGTGAGATGAGCAGACGGGCAATCAAACAAACTGACAAAGGACTTGCTAGTACGGATGTAGTTGAGATCAGACTAGGACTAGACTAGGATAGGAGGGGAGGCTCTATCCGCCTCTCTGGTTCCCTCCGCTTCAGTCCTGAGTTACAATGGAGCCAGGCATGTGAGACAATCCCTTTCAGTCCACACATTTCCCCTCCCTGGGCTGGGATAAGCCGTGCTTATGCAGACCTGGTGGCCAGCTCGAATCGCAGAGTGGATTTGGGGCTCTGCCACATGTGGACATGGAGCTCTTAATATATTTAAAAGGCTGAAGGGCAGTAGGGGAGACCAGGCGCGAGCTGGCAATCAATTATCCCAGCTCGCACCTGGTACCCCCACTGCGCTTCTGCTTTTTAAATATATTAAGAGCCTGCTGGCTCTTAATGCATTTAAAGAGAAGAGATGCGGCATCTGGGACTGGGCACAAGCTGGGAATCAGCTGATTCCCAGCTCGCGCCATGCCTCTGCCTCCCCGCCCCCCATGGAGATGGTGCTGGGGGGAACCGGCTTTTAAGCTGTCTTCCCCCCAGCACCGGCTCCTGCTCCCTCCCTCTTGCTGCAGTAAGGGGACGGGGGAGTAGAGGCAGTTGAGTCACTACTCAACTATCTGATAAGCTTATGGGATAGTCGACTAGTCACTTAGGGTATGTCTACACTAGCTCGTTAGTTTGAGTTAGGTAGGGTAATTAGGGCAAGCGGAGTTGCAAATGAAGCCTGGGATTTAAATATCCCGGGCTTCATTTGCATGTTCCCTTCCTTATTCGGAGTAACGGTAGTTCGAATTAGGATCTTTAATTGAACTACCTACTCTATGCCTCGTGTAGCCATGGGCACAGAGTTCGGACTAAGGGGGATTTTAAAAAATGGCGGCGCCCGGGAACATGCAAATGAAGCCCGGGATATTTAAATCCTGGGCTTCATTTGCAACACTGCTTGCCCTAATTACCCTACCTAGCTCGAACTAACGAGCTAGTGTAGACGTACCCTCTCATACTTAGTTTAATTCTCCATGGGATGCAAGTTATCAATGCTGTCAGCACAATGTCCCAGTCATCCAGTGTGTGAAGCAATAATCGCCACTAGCATTTCACCCTTTCCCTGGTGATGGGGAACTGAGCGACACCCCTGCCCCCACGTGACTATGGGTTTAGCAGCATTGTCTCAACAGCCTGGGTCTCCATGCTCCCTGCAGCCTAGTGACTGATCTCAGCTACATCTGTGCTAGTGATGGTGATTCCTTTGGCAGCTTGTTCCATTTCCCGTCTGCTCATCTCATGAGAGCCTGTTCCCTGATATCTAACCTGAATTCTCCCTGCTTTTTCTTAATCCCATTACTTCTCCTCCATTGACTAATGAGAGTAATTGGCCCTGCTTCTCTCTGGAACATCTTCTCTGCATGAGCAGCTATGTAGCCTCTCTCTTCAGCCTTCTCTTCTGCAGAGCCAGAGTGCCCACTCTCTTCCATGTTCTTATTATACACAGACACTTGATTGCTGGACTATGCAACTTTTTCCTGGCCAGAGATTCATTCCCTGTGTCCTAATTTCAGCCATGAAGAAACCCAGCTTAGGAGAGGGGAAGGGAGCAAAGCATTAATGGGCTATTATCCTGCAAGCTGAGGCTCATCTGAGGAGTGATTGCTCCTCTCTGGACAGCTCTGCAGATCTCTTATGGGTAATTTTATTCTCCCTGTTGTAGGTACATGGAGCGGTTCTCCCTATATATGTGGAGAACAGAATTATGAAGGTATGAGCCTGCTGGAGCTAGGTTGCAAAGGGAGAGGAGAAGGGTTAACCTTTTTTTTCATTCTCAGCCCATTACTGCTGTCCCCTATACTAGGGTTTGTTCTTAGCACAATGCTTGACACAGCAGGCTTTTACTCACGTAGCACGATGCACTGGACAGCAGCCAGGCCCCTTCTCATCCCAGCACACGGAGGGGTGAATACATCCTTCATAGAGGATATGGCTGACTAATGCTCTTCAGCCACATTGTATTCCCTCTAGCTGCCAACATACTTGCTCTGCAAGAGACAGTCAAGTGTAGGCCCCAAGGTTTGGTGTTGCTAATTAAAAGAGGTGTGTGTGAGTGGGGCCTAATCTATTCCCATCGATTTAATCATATTTCAGTGC